TTATTCAAGTATTCAAATAGTCGATTCAAGAAATTTAATAAGATCACTGGAGTACAAACACATTTCTAAGGTGAAACATGATTTGTTTTACTTCGGTTGGTTTTCACTTTAACACGATGGAGGTCAGGTGTTGTTACTCTTTTGAATGCACAGTAGAGAGCAGCACTGGGTCACTGTTGGAAAGACACAGAGGGAACTGTTACTGATTTGAATCACTTAAAAAAAGGAAACACACACTTGAAAATGAGAATAGCAACACTAGATTTCAGTGGAAGTCACGGTTAATTTTTCAACCCTTTCTGATGTGCAGGATGCACCTGCAGGCCTCCTGTCTTTATTTAACCTCATGCAAATGAAGAGGTTAAGTCTCAGTTCTCTGTGATCCTGCGCATCACTGGAAACACTCTGATGTATGATCTCGTTATTGTACGTGTGAGAAAAGCGACATTTTGCAGGGTGACTCTTCTTTTAACTCGTGAAAAAAATAATATTCCAACTATTAAAGAAAGTTAATATACACAATTGGATGTATGCCATGAATTCCAAACCATACAAACAGGACTAACTGTATTACTACAAAACTGCAGGTAAATATATTCAGATCATTCTTGCAAAGGTGTTGAGGGAAATAACCTCCACTGATAATAATGCTGACGAATAACACAACTGTGAGAAACATGCAGGTTGAAGCTAAGCTCCTCCCCTGTCAGTCACTCCCAGCTTCAGTGTCGTATTAAATGTCTCCCCCAGCACCTCCTCTCCTCATCCTCCAAAGCCTCTAATCTGGCAGCAGTCAGGTCTCTTTCCAAGTCACAAGGCCATTCTCATCACACACTGACACCATGCTGGGGACCCTCTGCACTCTCATCACTGCTCTCACATGTGAGGAGGCTGACTTCCTGCAGCTTGGACTTCATGGTGGACTCATCAGTGTGTGTGTTTCTCTTGACTCCATGTCGTCTTGTTGTTTCCAGGTGTGAGTGGTGTGACGGTGGTGACACAGAAGCCTGTTGTAGCCGTGACGACAGGAGAGACAGTCTCCATAGACTGTAACCTCGGGACTGTTACTGACTCGCTGGTATAAACAGATTCCAGGAGGAGTTCCTCAGTTTGTATTATATTATTATCACGGCTACAGCTCTCCAACATATGGCACTGGTTTCTCATCTCCAAAGTTCACATCCACTCATCAGTCAACTTCAGATTATCGTTTGATCATAAAGAACATCGAGGAGGGAGACTCAGCCGTCTATTACTGTAACACATGGGACGACTCTGTTAAAGAGTACGTATCACAGTGATTTACACTGTGACAAAAACCTCTTCACCGAGTACTTCTGCTTTTTGAGACGCTGACACATTTTGAGTGAAGACATCAGTCAATTTCTGTAACTTATATTTCTCATAATTACATTTATTTATTTAATTCTGAAATCTTACTTAGTCGTAGTTATTAATAGTTTGCCACATTTACACTCTAACAAACAGAAGGAGATGAGCTCACATGTAAATGATGATGACATAAAGACATGTTATAATTAATTGCACCTTGTCTCTTGAAGAATAACTGTTAACATTATATAATAATGTCTCTTATTAATGGAACACACGACATGTAAAGTTAACACTGGACTCAGCTTATGATCTCAGCTGATCCCCATGAGTCCCACAGGGTTCGGTTCTTGGACCCCAATTATCCAGATTATTGTGTTGGAGTCATCCTCCATGACAATAACGATGCTTAGAACTTTCATACAAATTCTTACTAAGAGTAAGTACATGGATTGGTGAAATTATCTGTTCTTCAATAAAAAAACAAATGCAAATCATTGTTAACGTCAACGAGGACAAACAAATGACAATAACATTGACTCTAAAACTATGAACCTACTAAATACTGAATAAAAAATACAAATATTTAATTAAAGTAATTCCATAACTGGATATAATACTCAAATGACATTAGCAGACTTACAAAAACAACAAACACGTCTTTTTGATCAACAGAATTAATGAAAAGTGTTGATGTGACTCACACACGATGTGTGTTTATGTGTAACAAGTGAATCAAGTGTTTAAGCTCCTCCTCACTGTCTTTATAAGCCTCAGTGTTTCTTCTCCTCACACTCCCGCCCTGCTCTGCTCTCAACTGGACTGTAAGGAACGTTTACAGCTCACACTGACAACATGCTGGGGATCCTCTGCACTCTGCTCACTGCTCTCACATGTAAGATATTCATCCATTCATTTCATGCTCCATGTTTTCATGCACAAACCTTTCCCCTGACTTTTCTCTGTGTGTTGACAGATGTTGATGCAGCGATAGTGCTGACTCAGACGCCTGCTGTCCACTCAGTTCCTACAGGACAAGAGGTTGTCCTCAACTGCAACATTCAGAGATATGATAGCAATTCTGTGTCATGGTATAAACAGGTTCCTGGTGAAGCTCCTCAGTATGTTCTCAGATTTCACCATGGGAACAATGCTCTCGTGTTTGGATCAGGATTCTCTTCAGACCGGTTCAACTCTAAATCCTCTTCAAGCACAGAATACCAGTTCATCATAAAGCGTTCAGAGACAGGAGACTCTGCTCAGTATTACTGTCAGACATGGGATGACTCTGCTGATGAAGCTGTATCACAGTGGTTCACACTGTGACAAAAACCTCCATCACAACCTCCATTCAGACCTGCTGAAGATTTATTGATTCTCAGCAAAATCAGACACATCAAATAAGGGAAACTGCTTCAAAACATTGAAGGACAACAAATCAATTCCTGTGAAGAGACAATTCAGTCTGGAGCAAATCAAACTGATGAAGTTAGTGAGATGTTGAAAATGAAAGTTGGTCTCAACAGGATCTTTCAGTTTCACTCCGTCATCAGAGCGAGTCGAGAGGTTTTTGTACAGCCATGTGTACCAACTGAATCACTGTGGTATTCGGACAAGGAACCAAGCTGATTGTGACAAGTAAGTACTTTAAATCTCTTCTTAAAGCGTAAGTGATTCTTTTGTTTCATTTTAGTAGAGATTTATGTAATATGTTGTTATTTTATATGTTTTTGCTTTTTAAGATATTTAACCTGTTAGAATTTTGTTGGCTGAAAATTTTCCAACCAATTTCCCTATATTAATTTCTGCTGTTCATTTCATAGTCTAACATTAAAAAACAATTTTAGTAGTGCAATCTCACACTTAAAGTATCAATATAAAAATGACAGCGCTTGTGATGATTAACTACTAATCTTTTAAAATGAAGGGCTAGTCTTTATTTTACCTTTATTCTTTGGTTTTAACACCACAATTGCGGAATTTAAAAAATGTAGTTTTACTTTGACAGTAAGATAAATAAAACGAGGTCGGTTCAGTTTCACTGTATTCTAACAACAACAAAAGAGATTAAGATACATATAAGACTAAGTACAAATATAACTGTATTTAACATGAACAACATAGAACATCTCGTTGTATTTTCTAGTTTGTGAATGATAGTCTTTGTTTTTGAACTCTGCTCTGATGGTTTCTAAATGTTTTTTTGTCTTTCTCCTCAACTTACTAACAGATTCCTTTTACCGCCATGATTTGCATCAATAACTCCACTTCCCTTCATTTAAAGAATGCCTTTTGTGTGTTTCAGGCTCCAGCCTCCGTCCTCCCGTCCTCACTGTCTTTCCTCCGTCCAGTGCTGAGCTGCAGTCCAACAAAGCCTCTTTGGTCTGTCTGTCCAGTCAGTCTGGGCCTTTTGCAGATGTGACCTGGATGTCTGGAGGGAGTCCAGTGGTCACTGGGATCTCTACCAGCACCGCTGTTAAGCAACCTGATCAGACGTTCCACATCAGCAGCTATCTGGCCATCCAGGCGTCAGACTGGAACATGGATAAGGTTTACACATGTAAAGTGTCTTTGGGCTCCCAGACTGCAGAGAAAAACATCAAGAAGTCTGAGTGCCTCACTGAACAACAGTAGAGGAGCAGAAGGACCATTTAACATCTGCTTCTTCCCTCTTTGTGCTGTTTATTCATCACGAGCGTTACATGTTAGAACATGTGTCTCCACGCTTGTAGTACATGTTGTTGACACTTAGGTAGAGGTGTTGTATCCGCTTTGCAAACGGTAAAATGTAGTAAAATCTTTTGAATAAAAAGCATTTTGTAAAACAAGATATTTCTTGTCTTTTTATCACTGACAGAAAAGCATATTATACTCATAGTATTCTTTGAACTCAACTAAACTTTTGATCTCATCCTACGTGAGATATGAAATACTATCATGAAATAGTTGATAGTGGATTTGTTTGAGAAAAACAATTTTCGTTCTGAAGGTAAAAAATGTGACACAGGAATAAACCATCGGCCATTTTTATTTACCAAAACGTATAATGTATTAAAAGCATTGTCAGAAAAGATCTAGATCTTTTATGTGCTGCAGTCAGACATTGTCACATTGAGGATTTCATTCAACATTGTTGAATATTGAGTTTGAAAGATTGGCGTCTGAAAAAATAAAAGTTTAGGAAAGTTTTTAAAGCTGACATATTTTTGAGGCAAATACTATTTACCATACTTACTATATTATTGACTAAATGGTGGAGTTTTAAATGCACAGAAATGTAAGGTTTCCACTTATCAAGTTTAATGTGAAGCAACCTTGTGTTTCTTGCATCACATTATAAAACTTATTCTTATTCTTTTGTTGTATTTGTTCTTCAAGTCGTCTTGGAATGTCTTCTAGTAACAATAATAATCCTGGTGTTGCAAAAAGGTGTGTTAATCTTTTTTGTAAAGAACATCAAAATGATAAAACCCGTCTTTGTCTGTCAGATTATCTTTGAAGGAAAGCTTATCATCTATTTTTTGTTTAGGTGTGTATACAAATATTATGAATATAAATAACTACCACTTCAAATATCTGTTTAGATGAAATATAAGTCAGAAACTGACTGATGGCTTTACTCATAATGTGTCAGCGTCTCAAAAAGCAGAAGTTCTCAGTGAAGAGGTTTTTGTCACAGTGTAAATCACTGTGATACGTACTCTTTAACAGAGTCGTCCCATGTGTGACAGTAATAGACGGCTGAGTCTCCCTCCTCGATGTTCTTTATGGTGAAACGATAATCTGAAGTTGACTGATGAGTGGATGTGAACTTTGGAGATGAGAAACCGGTGCCATAGTTTGGAACACTCCAGTCGTGACGAAAATATAATACAAACTGAGGAACTCCTCCTGGAATCTGTTTATACCACCAAGCACCACGGTCAGTAACAGTCCCGAGGTTACAGTCTATGGAGACTGTCTCTCCTGTCGTCACGGCTACAACAGGCTTCTGTGTCACCACCGTCACACCACTCACACCTGGAAACAACAAGACGACATGGAGTCAAGAGAAACACACACACTGATGAGTCCAACATGAAGTCCAAGCGGCAGGAAGTCAGCCTCCTCACATGTGAGAGCAGTGATGAGAGTGCAGAGGGTCCCCAGCATGGTGTCAGTGTGGGATGAGAAGGGCCTTGTGACTTGGAAAGAGACCTGACTGCTGCCAGATTAGAGGCTTTGGAGGATGAGGAGAGGAGGTGCTGGGGGAGACATTTAATACGACACTGAAGCTGGGAGTGACTGACAGGGGGAGGAGCTTAGCTTCAACCTGCGTGTTCCTCACAGTTGTGTTATTCGTCAGCATTATTATCAGTGGAGGTTATTTCCCTCAACACCTTTGCAAAGAAGTGATCTGAAAAGATGTTCTCCAGTTTTGTAGTAACACCATTGGGGCCTAGTCGTGTCTCTACTGATTTAAATTCATGGCAAGGAACCAATTTTGTACATTCTTTTTAATCTGTATATCTTATTTCTTAGGTTGTTCAGAAAAATGTTCTCACAAGTCAAAAGGAGAGTCGCTTTACAAGAGATTCTCAAGTGTACATTAAATACTTGCAACACATTTTTAATAATACATCAGTGTTTGCAGTGACAAACAGGATTACATAGAAAACAGATTAGTTATATGAGGTCAAATGTTGTTAACAAACCTCGCCAGACGTCAAATACAGTTACATCTTGTGTGCTGAGACTTGACCTCCTCATTTACATGGAGCTATGAATAAGAAGAGGAGGCCTGCAGGTGCATCCTGGGAAAGAAGGGGGGAGTAGAGAGGTGATGCTTCACTGGTAGAGGATGAAAACACAAGTTTCATTTGCTCATTTTATTTAATCTTCAAACATTTCATTGCAACTGAGTTAATACACATTTTAGATGTAGTGAGTTTAGTACAAAACATTTCACCAACATGGTCAAAGATGTTTTAATTTGTCAATTTGTTTCATTTTCTCATTTTATTTAATATTCAAACATTGCAACTAAGTTGATCCTTATTTTAAAATGACTGAGTTTAGTAGCAAACATGTCATCAACATGGTCAAAATGTATTATTAGTCAATTTCTCAGAAATAAAAAATAATTTGCAAAAACTTTCTGTCATCTTGCTGATGCTAATCAAGATACAGATATACAGCAGCTCTCATGAGGCAATTTGATATAGATGCAGTGTAAAATAATTGACATCAAAGTATTCCACTGAAACTGGTTGTAGGTCCCAGCAGGTGGTCCGACCCGCTCCCTCAGTCCACAAGTCACAGTGTGCTTTAATCTCAGGACCCTTTTCCCCAAAGGTTGGTCCAGCGTCTGGCAGCTTCACCACCATTGATAGTGTACGGGAATGATTAACAACAACTAAAAGCCTTTTGTGGTGCTAGCTACAATTTTCCATTTAAATATTTTTAATAAAATGTAATATATACATATATATACTGTGATAAATCATAACTGTAGACTATACAGCCAATGTGATACTTAATGTTTAGCTATTACAACACAGAGAGGAGCAAGATGAAAGTGACAATAAGTTGATTCAAGCTGCCACCTTGTGGTCAAATGTATCTTTTTATATGAAAAAATAAAAATGTGTCTTTTCTAAACCAAGCATGAGCATGTGACCTCTTGTCGCATTTCCCTCCTCAATAAAACTACACAAGCTAATCGCTTGAAAATAAGCACAATAACACTTGGTTGATGCATCAGCCTGATCGGTCTACGGTCTCTGTGGTCCCCTTCTTCTGGCTCTGATCACCTTTGACCCCTTGATTGTCCCCTTGTCAGGAGCCCTAATCTGAGCTCTCAGTGGAGACCTCAAGTGGAGAAAGAGGAAAGTTGTTTATACTGAAAATATAAAAGAGATATCCAATTTGACCATGACTGTCCAGATATTGTGTTAAGCAGAAACAGCCTCATCATACGCAGGAAACATGAGGACGAAATACGGAAATAACGGAG